CAGTCCCACCAGCAGTGTAGAAGTGTTCCTGTCTGTCCACATCCTCGCCAACATTTGTTGTTTTGTGTTTTTTTGATAGAGGCCAGTCTCACCAGGGTTAGGTGATACCTCATTGTGGTTTTGATTTGCATTTCTAATTCAACAAATATTTATTGAGTACCTGTTATGTGTTAGATATTGTTCCAGGTACTAAGGATACATCAGAGAACAAAACAAATAGCCCTGCCCTCATGGGGCTTACAGTCTAGTGTTTATTGCCACTTCACCTGCATACTGTCTGGGATAGGGGCAAGTCACCATTCCTCTGCCCTCAGCTGCCTTATAGGGAGATGGCAGGCCCAGCTTAGACGTGGATAATGTGTCCTGTATACCGCAGATGCCAAACTGGACACCCACCCACAACCCACCACCCAGACAGTGGATAGGGCTGGAAGTTGATTTTTAATAATAGAGTACAATGGGGAGAGGGCAGAGAGAGTTGAGCCAAGTTGTCTGGTTGTGCTGTGGTGGTGGTAGGCTGTCTATACACATTGCCACTGCTGCTGCTACTGCTGCTTCTTGGTGGCTGCCTTGTTGGCTAGGTCCTTGGTCTTCTCTGTAGCTGCCAGTGCCATCTTCTTTGCCCTCTCCTTGGCTTCCTTGGCTGTTTCAACAAGTGTTTTGGAAGGGGCCTCACCCTGCAGCTTGGCCAAGATGTTTTCAAAACCTTTCATAGTCCTGGTTGTGTTGCTTTTAAACTGGGGCGATACCAAATTCCAGGACATCTCTGAAGATTCCAAATAAGCTAAAGGAGACCCAGGCTTCCCGATGGACTTTGGTACAGCCAATGTTGTCAAAGTTCAGATAGTAAACATGTGGTTCCTCCACCCCTATCAGCGGGTGTGGTTGATGTTCCAGGTGAAGGTGGTTATGGTCTGATTCTGTGGTTCCGCAATGGAATCTCTCCAGGATGTACACCGAGTGAGCAACATTGACAGGAAATAGTCACTCGGCCCTGCGGGACATCCTGTTGGTCTTGGTCAGGAGTCACCATGACAGGAGCTTCTGGTCAGGGGTCACCACCCAGTGTACTGTGTTTTCTGTCAAGACATGTTTGCTATAGGGATTTGGGTACTGCTACCAGAAGACAATGAATACTTGGTCCCAGGAACTCCAGGGCATGCTCTGGCCCAGAAAATACTTCACCATCATCCCGGCTGGGGCGAGCCCAGCACCCGCACAGCATTAGCCTGCCAGGCTAGCAGCTCAGTCACCATTGCACCACACCCAAGCCGCTGCAGCCACCATGAGATGTCCGGTCCCCCTTTCTATATTTTTTATTGTATGTTCAGATGAATATGTTTATAGATATTTAATATAAATTGAGTCATGTTATAATCCTATTATAACAGCTTTTTTCATCTTTTAATATTATAGAATCATTTCCTTACAACTTCTTTTATAATATTTTAACCTTTTATCAAGCA